TGGGGTGAAGCACTGGGTTTAGAAAGAAACTCCTGGTCAGGGATGGGACAGAGGAGGGACACTCAGATGACTTTTTAAAGGCAGTTCTCTTTGAAGGGGGGAGGGGCAAGGATGTCTCATTTCTTTTTTTCTAACATTTGAAACAGCATATGATCATAATACTTAAAAAGTATATCTCAAAAGTAATCGCATTAACATTTCCTTACCATTTATTCCAAGCCTCATGCACCAGTGAAAAAAATAAATCAGGAAGAAATGGGAAAAAGTGAGTGCAAGCTAAAGTCATGTATTTGAGGACCAGGTGTTTGCTTAGGCTCTGAGCTGGGATGAGCTGACAAGGGTGCTGAGGCCTATGCCAGGCTTCATCATTTACACTGTCCCAAGTTCAACCCTAAAACACTCTAAGAACAACTTACAAATCCAGCACAGTTGTCACAAAATGTGGGTTTCAGGTAGGTGGTCTCTTGGAAGTTGTGAGGAAAGCCCAGGCCCAGCTTGGAGTAGATTGAGCTGGCCCTCATGAAGTAGGCTGTGATCTCCTCTCTGCTGATGAGGCCTTCCCTGCCAGCACATGAAGGAGATGAGGGTGTAAGTGGGGGACAGGAGGTGACAGGGGTGACTTCTAGCCTTAGACTCACCTTTGTTTTTATCCTTGAGTGGTAGCACAGTACATAATACCTGATAATTACTTCCATGAGCCCTCCTCTTAAAAAGGGTACTTGGGTAGCATCTTGTAAGTACTTGAGGCAGGAATACTCATTTCCAAAGTTGTTCTTTGGATAAACTAGGTTTTTCTAATTAATCTAACCAATATCTGAAATATTGTAAAGAAGAATAATCGAGAATGTGTGTACAGGGAGAGGGGTATCATACGCTGCAGTTTCTGACTTTACACAGCACATATAACTGGAAGCCATCAACCATGTATTTAGTTTCATACAGAGAACCAACATCGGCCTTAGTGTAACCTTGAGGAAAGCAAATATGCAAAATATTAATAAATATTGTTTCTCATAATCTGTAAGATGAAGCAAGAGGGATACTAAATTTTATCTTCTTTATAGTTGACTATTCCTAAACAGATTTATGAAATCTTCAAGTCTGAGGCATTTAAAAAGCATGTTTTTCATTGTCTACTGTGGACCAAACCAGAGCCAGACAGNAAAAAGAAAGCAATCATTTTTCCCTTTAGCCAAGGACAGAGAGGCTGGAGCAGCTGATGGAAACATGCTCCTTAAAGGTGCTGCAAAGCCTCAGCAGATCCCATCCCATGTCTTTGCTGGCACCAGCATCTGGAGGGTGGCCAGCTGCTGTTAACCCCATTAGCCCTGTGTATTCCCAGCTCGTTGCACGGAGGGATGTTCCCCCTCCTCTCTGACCTTCTGTCATTGCTCAGCTCAAACTGCACCTTCTCTGTGAAGCTCCCACTAACAGCTGATGCAAGTGCCCCCTCCTCCCCTCCCCCACTGCTTTAATCCCCAACCGCTCACTGTTGTGTTACTTGCTGGCCCTAGCTTTTCTCCTTTCACACTGGAATGGCCTATGAGGAAGAATGTGGAAATGTGAAAGTATATACCTCCTCAGCATTTAGCACAGTGAATTAAATCAAGCAATGCCAAAATTTTCAGTTTTAGATTCTCCTTGTTACTCTTCCTCACACACAAGTGTTTTCTTACACCTCTTGGCCCCAAATAAAGACCAGCTTTATGCTCTCCCGCTACATCTATCCTCTCTTGTAAGAGGAGGCACACTTCCCCCTTAAGGCCAAAGTACGATGGCAGAATGTAACTTCTGAACTGGTCTGCTGCCAGTGTAAGCACGTGGCCCCCTGTGCTCTCCTCCGTGCTCTCCCCCATGCAGAGCTAAGCCAGGCAGTGCCTTGTTTTTGTGTGCTGAAAAACAGCTGTACTTACATCCACCATCCTCTGGACGTGTTTGCTTATGGTCTTTGGGTCAGGTTTGGGAGATACTCCAGAGGCCCAGTCCACTACTACTGGTGGCTTTGAAGGTGTTAGTGGCTACAATGAAATATTCAGAAAAATCTCTATGACTCTAATGCAGCGTCACCTACAACTCTGCTTTTCTACTCCCCTATGGCTGCATCTATAGACAACCTTCAACTATGTGTCATGGCAAGGAGCAGAGAACTCACACATAACTGAAATCTAGAACTGTAATCTTGGCTGACACAAATATGGTGTTATGGTTTACAAAGAGCTCCTCATATGCATTATCTCCATCTACACATAATTCAAAATTCTCAATTCCCTCTCCATTAAATCTTTTGGGGAAGCTGTCAACCAAGAGTAAAGTATATCATTTAAATTTCCTCTCTGTTCTCTACTTACTGTTTAGTAGAGATGTAGATGAAGAGAAAAATAGCTATAAAGCAGGAAAATACTGCCTTTAAAGAAAAAAGTCTGAGGCCAAGACAAGCTGAGATGGAATCAATTCCTAAATATTTGAGAGTTGGCCTAGATGTAAATCTCTTCCCAAAACAGGAGAAGGTATCCTTTCTACTGAAGTGCCCTGAAAATGGAACCTACCAAATATTTTCAGGGAACATGTCTCGTTATGATAGAAAGCTGGAACTTGATCTTTCTTTGTAGAGAGTGAAATCTGCCACATGAACAGATGAACTCAGTTTCTTAAGTGTGAACCACTCTCTCCACTTGAGTACTACTTGTTTTGGGACTGGGAAGCTTCCCAGGAGACTGTGAGCATTACCAGTCCTTCAGAAGGCAAACTGAACTTATTACACCTGCCTGTCAGAGAGGTGGGGACAGATAACCAGTCAAGTTCCTACTGTGCAGTGCCACGACTATGCTCTTGTGAGGTCAGAAGACCCAGCACACCACTCTGTCTGACCCAGATGAATACACAATGATGGGGCTTTTCTCTCTACCAAGCTGGGAATCCCCTTAAATTTAACTTCTGATTAGTATGCATATTGCTTTCATTGTCATCAGCAAATCATATAAGAGAAACAATTGATGTGGGAACACTTTGTAATAAAGTGGCCTACAGTGCTACCTCTTCTCTAATTTGTGAACCACTGATGGTTCCACCACTTATTCTGATGTTCTTACAGCCACATAGTTGTTTCCTGTTAGTAATCTTATCCCTTCAAGCAGACTGCAGGTTCTTTATGGTCAGAAACTACTCTTCATACCTATGTTGGTGCTTTCTCTGCTCCTAGCACAAGGTTGGGCATGTAGTAAACACATCATATGCTTATTAAACTGAACTAAGATGTTTAGTTTCTTAAGATGAATGACCTCGATGAACGGCTTGTAGATCACCTGTTACATGCAGGAGACTTAATATGAACAACTCACTGGGGCTTTGTGGTTCCTTGGTTCCCGGGCATAAGAAAGCTCATAGATTTCATCTTCAGTGTAGTAGAGATCTAGGGATAACTGCAAATAAAAGCAGAACAAGGTTAATTCCTAGGATGCTGTTTTCCTTTCCCAGGGTTGAAGCATTTCTTTCTGGGTTCTGCCTCTTCAGTGGTTAACTCTTCTGGGCTCTTAGTAGTTTGTTTTTAAAACTCACAATTTGGAGGGCATAACACCTTCTATTGCAATAGGGCAAGCATTAGTTCATTCTCTTAAAAATGTTTTTAAACATTGGAGAAGTCTCAAGATGACCTCTTTTAAACTATGATTTAATATGTAAGCCTCTAGATGGAGCTTAGGCCAGAGGCTCAATCCAGTCAGATGGTCCGCTTCTCACCCGGTCTTTCCCCAAAGCAGCAAGTGCTCTGAAAGGACAGTTTGCTTAGCCTGATACTGTTAAAATTTGTTTCTAGCAACAGAATCCAGTTTAAATGACAACAGGTATGATTAAACAATACTAAGAGTTAATGAGTTTCATATGTCTCAGAACTATAAAATTTTAGAGGACAGATGTTTTGGAAATAACCTTATTGTTAACCTAGAGTCAACAGCTGGGCTTCAGAAGGTTCAGAACTAAAAGACATGCATATTTTTGTATGGTTATGTATTTTTTATGGGAAGAATATTCACAGCTTTTATCACGGGATTTGTAATCCAAAAAAGTTAGGAGTCAGTGCAGCTTTTCATAGATGATGATGTCTAAGGCCGAGACCCGCCAAGGTCACCTGACCAATTAGTGAAAGCGTTAGGATTAGGCTGGATGTGAAGCCTGGGACTCTATCAGCCTTACTCTATCCTGTAAGGTAGGGAGAGGCTATAATATTCCATTCTGCAAAAAAAGCAGATTAATAATTGTGTAATTTGAGAACTGAAAGAGAAGTTATAAGTCATCCCAGAGACTAATCCCTCTGGTTTACAGAGGAGGAAACAAAGTTAGTTACATGCCCACAGTCACAACAGCTACTGAATCACAGGATTGCAGGTCAGAAGGGAGTTCATTTGACTGCACCCTGTTTCCAAAGTGCCTACCCTTTGGTGTTTGCCTACCCTTTGCTTGAACGTCCTGGAAACAGGGATCTAAGTTAGTAGTGGCAGAACTTAAATAACGAACCTGTTTTTGTATTTGCTTTTTAACTCACTGCCTTTTCCTTTTTATGAGAACACACTGTCTCCATCTCTTACCAAGCTTTGTATCCCTGATTTGATATCAGCTTCTGCCAGAAATCTTAGGGCTGCTTTTGCAGGGGAAGAGAAACACTGAGAAGTCCTCCTTAAGAGCACACAGCTTCTGGAGTCCCACCAATGGGTCTGAATCCAGGCTCTGCTGCTTAATGTAAGTGTGGTCCTCTGACCAGTTATGTCTCTGTGCCTCAGTACTCCTAACCATAAAAAAGAGATAATAATAGTATCTAATTCATAGAGTTTTTATGAGGATTAACCGAGCTAGTATTTGGCAAGGTGCAGACAGCGGCGCCTGGCACACAGTGCTTAGTAATCGTCTCCCACATGAGCCTCACCGTCAGCAGGTGCACCAAGTCCTTGTTAGCCTCCAAGGGTGGAGCCACCTCTTGCAGCTGCACCAGTTCATTGATATGATTGTAAAGGGCCAGCAGCTTGTGGACGTTCACCTTCCCATCCTCCAGATAGTCGGGCATGGCTTCATATAGGGAGATGAGGTCCTTGAGGTGCACCCCCAGGATGGGGATCTTGAAGCGGGTACACTCCCCATAGGCTCGCCGGTAGTTATCATAGTTTCTACAGGAGGAGAGCAGCTCAGTCATCTCACCCAGAACCTACAAAGCAGAAGAGAAGTCCCAGTCACATCAGGTATGCATCAGGCAAAGTATATTGTCTGCACTGCTGCACTGGGCATCTTGTTTACTCTTAATGAGTCATGGGATGTCATGATTTCATCCCATCCCTACTTTGTCAGGCAGGAGGTGATTCATCTAAAAGGTACAGATTATGATTCCCAAATGAAAATTCTAGTCTGGCAAATGTCACAGTGTATTTACAAATTCAAGGCATACTTTACTTGATTCTACTGTAAATCAGAAAAAATTTTAATGAGGTCTGTTTTATACCCAAATTTTCTTTAAAAAATAAAAATAAAAGCACCTGATACAGAAACTAAAAATGTACAAGAACACAGTGAATAATAAGAATCCCTCTGATCTGTTCCAAGCCATGCTGTTCCCTTCTCTAGTGTCTGTGACAGCTTCTAGAGGCTGCACTGCATTGCATTTGGAATGCGATGGCAGAATTGCAGACTGTGTTGCTGGCATGGGGCAAACCATGTGTTTTAAATGTGGAGCTTCAGTGGTCTGTTCCATGTTTTTATTCTTTATGCTGTGATGGGTCGACCACATCTCAGTGATTCTCAAATGGACCTATATCTAGGAAGCAGGTAGCATTCCATTCAGACTGACACTCTGATCTAGAGACAGAATAGATTAGACCACTTTGTAGCAAAGACATGCAAGAAGATGAGGTGGAGGCCCCAGGGAGCTCTTCATTGGAGCTCAGGCTCTGCCCTGGCCTGGGAGGGGGCCTGACTGCTCATTAGCCCAAGAGGAAGGGCGAGATCTGTGTTCCTCTCAAACACACCTGGTTGTTACAGAACCCCATTCCCCAAGCGTAATGACCAGCTTTCTCAGAAACAAACACTAAGACGGTCTGCCAATCATGTTACAACACAAGATAACCATTTTAAGTTGAATGTCAGAAGTTCTTTTAATTATTTATGGCCTAAGAAGTACCATTTCTCCGCAGTGAAAACTTGAGGTCTTGGAGTTAGCTGGCCTCCTGCAGTCACTTTGAGCTGACAAGGGAGCCTCATCACACCCCTCTAGCACACAGTGCAGGTGAGTGTGAGGGACAGAAGGTGCTCACAAGACAAGAAACTAACACCAAAAATGACAGAGGTAGTTTTGTTCCCGTTAGAAGGTAAGGTGAAGCACTGGGGCACACTCGCTTTGGCCCTGGACTTACTAATTTGCTGTGTAGACTCTGAGGGGCAAGCAGCTTCGGATAAAGAGGCACTGCTGTGGGGGACCCCAGGCTGTAGCTCATAAGGGAAATGGAATGAAGCTGTATGAATTTCTGTGACTATACCTCTGTCACCTCTGAGACATGGGCAGTCTTTGCAG